ATTAGAGATCATACAGCCCTTACTGTTGCTGATAAGCTAGTCACCGAGGTATTGTGTAGATTTGGTTGTCCAGAACAGATTCATACCGATCAAGGTAGGGAATTTGAGTCACACTTGTTCACAGGTATCTGTGATTTGTTAGGTGTGGAGAAAACCCGTACGACTCCTTACCGACCACAGTCTGATGGATTGGTAGAACGTTTCAACCGTACTTTGAAGCAGATGCTTTCAATTTATGTCCATCAGGAACCATTAGACTGGGACGACCACTTACCATATCTCCTTATGGCTTATAGGGCTAGTGAACACAAGAGCACCAATTGTACTCCTAACTTGATGATGTTAGGTAGGGAAATTCAGTTGCCTATTGACGTGATGGTGGGTCATCCTCCAGGTGTTCAGTATCCACTGTGTCCTGTTGCATATGTTCAATGGTTACAAGATGTTTTTCAGAAGATTTTTCAATTTGCTTCTGACAAGTTGGGTGTTGCTGCTGCAACACAGAAGCGAAATTATGACCATGGATTGAAAGTTCGATCATTTCAGATTGGAGATTTTGTTTGGAGATGGTATCCACCCAAGGCCAATCGAAAGCTAGGTCTTGGTTGGGATGGTCCATACCTGGTTATCAGGAAAATCTCTGAAATAACGTATGGAATACAGAAGAGACAAAATTCACCTGTATCAAATGTCCACGTGGATCATTTGAAGCCTTTTGATTGTCAACCTGTTACTTGGAACTGGCTAAGGGATACAGAGTTATCTCTGTCTAAGACACTGGACGACACAAATCCAGTTGTGTCATTTTCCAGGGATGAGGAGGATGAGTCTGATGAGGGTGCAATCACCAAGTTATGGGACAAGGCATCTGAAATGAAATCACCAGTACACTACCTCAGTATAGTAGGCATCGAAGGCAGTTCTCCACCAACTTGGGGAACCTGAAAACCTTATGGTTGTGTATTCACCAAGTTAGGTCGTGCATGTGAACAGATGCGTTTTGGTGTAAAGGAGGAGAACCTCGGGGTATTTACAACTCATGTATATGCAAGACATATATATAAACAGTACCTTTAAACAGTATGGAATATTTTGCAAAAAGCTAGTTTAGAACAGTACAAGTATTTACACTAGTGAGTCTAAACTTTTGATGGGTAGTATATATATATGCTACAGTATGGTTTTTTTTTTTTTTTTACCAAATAAATTCTTAAACGTGTTTGAGTTGTTTTAGTTGTTGATGCTTGTTTTCTTTGCTTTGCTTCGTTTTTGTTTGTTGTTAATATGCTTATTGGGAAGTTTCCTTCCTTTTCTCGCTTTCAGCGATGGAAACGCTCGAGATTATGGTTTCAGAGGAAGAATCGAAGGCATTCTTTGATGGAGAAAGACCCCTTTGGACGGATGCAGGGATGCCATGCCCGGTCTCCGGGTGTGGAGAACATGTTTTCCATAAATATGGAAAACTCTTGGATCATCGGCTGAGCAAACACAAGCCTCATGTGACACGTTTTTGTTGTTCCCTATGTGGGAAGGATTTCGCCAAGTTATCATCTGGGAGGTGGCATACAAGGTCACACGATGGACACGTGACTGTTTCCAGGGTTCAAGCTCCCAATCGGCAATTCATGGATCCTGGAGCAACGTGACTCCCAAGGTTGGCGAAGCCAGAAGAAAAGACACTTTCCCCACGAAGGCAACGACTTCGGCAGGAGGAAGCCTCGAGGCGTCATCGCCTCCCTTCCCGAAGAAGGTCCAGGGAAGAAAGAGAGGAAGAAGAACTGGAGGCCATGTCTGCACTGAACAGTGATTGAATTTATATTGTAAACGTCGCATTATTTCTATTGTATTTGTCGCATTTTTGTTGCAACTTATTGTAAGTGTGAATGTGTGTGTGAAAAGAAATATGGGAATAAAATTGGGAATTTTACTCTTAAGGGGGGAGGAATGTAGGAAAGTGGGTTTTTTGTTGGGAATAAAAGTTATTTTCTTTTCACATTATTAGGGTTGTAATATATATATTTAGTGGGAAGTTTTACGTAGCAGTTTTCGGGAGTAAGTGATTTCTTCAGAGGTTGCTTGTAGTGTATAAAATTCCGCTCTTTACCTTCGTTTGGCTGTAAAATTCCGTTGGAATTGTTCCTTTCCCGGACAGTTCACAGTAACGGCATGCGCTGCTATGCCGTGCTCGGATTGCCGTGGCCCGGTGTGTTTTCTGTTTGCATTCCGAGTGCGGTATGGTAGAGCTGTCGTGATTGGTCGGCTGACTCCATTGCGGGCCAATGGGAGTTAGGCTACTTCTCCCGGGTCAAAGGTTAGCACGCGGGGTATTTAAGGGCCTGTACCGCTCAGAGAAGTCGCTTGCTTCAGGACATCCTGACCGAACAGTAAGTCAGGAGGTCTTCCTCCTTTCCTTAGGTTTTGTGTAGGATTATTTTGCATGTAGAGTAGGAGAATATTTAGTGGGTTGGGTGAAACGATAGGATTAGAGTAGGCTTTGTATGTAGGAATTAAATAGTTAGGACTTTCTTCTTTTTCTTTGGGTTTCATAGACTGATAGTTGTGAGTATGTGTGATGCTGGCTTCTGTTTATTTTGTTGAGTTTGGCTTAGTTTGTTTTTATTAATTAATAAACTGTATTTATTTGGAAAAATCGGAACTTTGTTCTTATTTTGTGAAGAATCTTTAACAATGACTTGAACAACCATAGAACCTGAAATAAGGTCCATGAAAGGTTCCGTTCTCCAGGTACAAGATTAACATTAAAATACACAACGCAAAGTCCACAACAACATCGAACCTTGATATATGAACCTTACTGTCACTGGGTGACCTCCCTCAGCGGAGGCACCTATTGCACCTACATGATGGGTCTCAGTCCGTCAAAGTGGAATCTGTACTCTCCGCTGCATCACCACTCCACTATGGCGTTCCCCAAGGATCTGTCTTCAGACCATTACTATTTAGTCTGTACATTCTCCTCATTGGTGACAATGTCCGAAAACACTCACTGAAATTTCATCTCTGTGCTGATGACAATCAGTTATATCTGTCAGCGGAGCCTAACCTTGCTGAAGATTGTGCACTGAAGATACAACAATGTATTGCTGAAATAAGAGCTTGGATGATGTTATCACGCAGTCCGACTCTGCAAAAAATCTTGGTGTCATCAACAATGTCATTAGAAAATCAAATCAAATCACTCAGCAAAGGATGCTTCTACCACATCTTCAATATTAGCAAGATCCGAAACCCCTTAGGTTTCAACACGGCCCAGCTTCTAACGACCAGCCTTGTTCTCTCTAAACTTGATTACTGCAACTCCCTCTATTACAACATTCCTCAACAGCTCCTTTCACAACTCCAATGGATTCAGAATTCAGCTGCCCGTGTTGTTGCCCATGCACCACACTACCAAACTGGACACCTATCCTCCAAACTCTTAACTGGCTTCCTGTATCAAGCAGAATTCAATACAAACTTCTTCTTCTTACACACAGCTGCATCTATGAAAACATTTTTTCTCAATATCTTAAAAGCCTCGTTCATCTCCATGTTCCAAGCCGACTGCTCCCCTTGTCAACCTCCCTACTGCTTACACAGCCTCATGTCAAAACAGTCATGGGATCAAGAGCGTTTTCTGCTGCAGACCCCTATCTCTGGAACATTCTACCACTTGCTCTAAAAGAAATAGAATCTGCTGACGCTTTCAAAACTGCCCTCAAAACTCTCTTTTCCGTAGACATTGTCTACAATCTTTTCTCTTTATAGCGCCATTGAGCAATATCTTTTGGAAATAGGAGCTCTATAAATCAATTATTATTATTATTATGTACAGAGCCTCATGATTCTATTGTCTACATAGCATTACACATTTTCTGTTGCCTGGGAGTTCACAAACATTTTACTTCTTTCCTCCAGCCAACATGGTGAACCTTAAAGTTTGAGATGATGTTGAGAACTTTTGATTTGTTCATTGTGAAAAATCTTTAAGGATCTCTATCTAAGTAACAACAAGGCAAATGAATGGCCAGTAACCTGTTTAACTCTCCCTGCAGCTTCACTTTCCTTTCTTGGTGGTTGAATTCTCATCCTATTTAGAATGTGCCTGGTGAGCAACCGAGCCTTGATGCTTCTTCCTATTAACAAGTTTCACTTTCCAATCATTACATGCCGTGGTGATATAGTCGTCGCCTCATCCGTCCGTCCGTAATCATTTTGTTTCCAGAGCATAACTCCAAAACCTTTCAATATTTTTCAACAAAAATTGTTAGAAATATCAAACAGAACCTAAGGTGGTGCCTTTTGCTATTTACAGTTTTTTGTCATTTTCTCGGTTTCCATGGAAAAGTTTTGGACTTAGTCTTAAAGTGGGCTGGGCTTCGTTCCCGGAGCATAACTAAAAAACCGTTCAATATTTTTCAACAAAACTTGGTAGATATATCAAACAGATCCCTAAGTGATACCTTTTGCTATTTGCAGATTTTTGGCATATTTATTTTTCCTGGTTTCCATGGAAACGATTCGGACTTAGTCTCAAAAGGGAAGGGCGGGTTTCGTTTCCGGAGCATAACTGGAAAACTTCTTCATATCTTTCAGCAAAACTTGGCAGATATGTGAGGCAGATCCCAAAGTGGTGCCTTTTGCTATTTGCAGGTTTTTGTGATTTATTATTTTCTCGGTTTCCATGGACACGATTCGGACTTAGTCCCGAAAGGGAGGGGTGGGCTTAATTTCCGGTGCACAACTCGAGAAGCGTTCAGTATCTTTCAACAGAACTTGGCAGATATATTAGGCAAATGTTGAAATGGTGCCTTTTGCTATTTACAGATTTTTGGCATTTATATTTCTCATGATTTCCATTGAAATGATTTGGACTTAGTTTAAAAAAAAGTCAAGCTGGACTTTAAGTAACTGTCAGATGATTTGTTCTTTCAAATATGTGGGGGCCGGGGGGATATGTCATCTTCTGATGACTCTTGTATTTCATTTTTACAACACAGATCACCTCCAGGACAAGAATCCAAAGGGGAGCCACCTTCAAGCCCTGCACTGTTGAAGCCGTTTACAACTCCGACAACAGGAACTCTTACACATAATGAGGTACTAGCATACTGCCATATTATTATTCTATCCTGCTCAATAGGTTGCTGAGTGGGTAAAGAAGACGGTTAGCCTCTTCACTGGCCAGATAAGTTAAACTGGGCCAAGGTAGCCTAAACATGTGGCTCAAGATCAAATTATCATACTGCGAACAAAATAGTCAAATTGTATTTTGGACCTTTATTCATATTATGACTTATAGAAGTATTGTATTATCTATGGTTTGTGTATCTTTTACAAGGATAGGTCTAAATGCTATAAGTAGCTTATGTCAAACAAGACATTGTGTTTATGACTTGGCTACCCCACCGCCCCCTGTGTTTATGTAATGAGGAAATAAAATCGAGGTAGCTGACAAGTAGTGCAGTCTGGGCAGTGGGGTAGCCTTGTGGTTAAAGCGTTGGCTCGTCACGCCGAAGACCCGGGTTCGAATCCCCACATGGGTACACTGTGTGAAGCCCATTTTCTGGTGTCCCCCGCCGTGATGTTGCTGGAATATTGTCGTAAAACCAAACTCAGTAGTCAGTCAGTCAGTAGTGCAGTCTAAGTAAACTTAGGCTCAGTATTATTCGTTACACTGCTATACTGAGTCTAACAAAACCTAGTTGAAGGTCGCGTCAGCTAACCTTTTGGATGACCAATCAGAACACAGCTTACCAAATAGCAAAAGTTAACATTTGCACATACCATTTGAACCTTTACTTCAAAAACTCAAATAATTACGAATGCTATTTCCGCTTGATCGCTTCCGAGTGATACACGCAAAGAGTAAACAGTCACTGAGTATAGCGTTTTTGTCAATATTCAAGGATGTCATCTTGCGAAAATATAAGCAAATAGTAACCATGTCATTAGAAACCCATAAGCGTATATACTGCAGGTCAAATATCTGTGTTTTATGTGGCTGGATTTTCGTTTGTTGATGGATCAGTGTCAGCGACCAGGGAAGAGAAAATCCAAAAACTGTTTTGTAAGTCCTGCCGAACCCTAACAAGTAGTTGTTGTCTGATTGGTTAAACCATTCGTCCGTGTCGGGTTTGATTGGACGGTCATAGGTCGCTCAAAGGTTAGCTGACGCGACAATCTACTAGGTTTTGTTAGACTCAATATAGCAGTGTAACGAATAATACTGAGCCTAAGTTTACTTAGACTGACAAGTAGTGATAGAGGAGCCTAAATCAAATCAAATCACTACGCCATAGTGCCATTAAATAACAATCAAATAATACAATTTCAGATCCAGAAAAATTCTCAAAGCTGTTTTTTTCCCACCTTTATACAATAATCCTTCATCATAGATTGAAACATTAATAGCACTGACTGAGCAGTATTTAAGCAGTTTAAGCCTTACACTTCATGGCATTGAAGTACTATTGAGCATGCTCCTTCCATATGATTTCCTGTCAGCTTTCCGACTTGATTAGTGATATAAATGATATAACTTGTATACTGTGAGAAGCAATGTTAACTCAACTCATTCACTCACATATGTAAATACAGTTAATAAAACAGTGTCAGAGGCAGTTAAAGAAGTCAGTGGCAAATCCACAGCCAACTAGTGTTTTGGGTGAGACATCAGATTCCTTTTTAACATAAGATTGGTCCCATTAAACCTTCAGCTAGACCATGTTCTTCAGCCACCAAGTTGTCTACCATCACTTCCAGAGACAAGAAGAATGTTTTGCCCACCAAATCTAACAAGCCTCCTACTATCAAGAATTGGGATGATCTGATAAAGATTGTCAGGCTGAAGCACAGATAGCACTCCTAATATGAACAGTTTAGGGTATTTCAATGTCAAATTTGAGAGAGATGATCATGAGGAACATCAACATATGCATAAGGAATGATCATAAGATTTGGCTAGTGAAGACTATCGTCTCTCCCAAGATCATCACCTGGACATTCAGATAATGCTGGGCAAGACAGAGATAAGGCATGTTGAACGCCTACACAATCCCCTGTTGATCATAATCCAGACAGCCAGGATCTCCTTGAGCATCGGCTTTCCCCCTATCGATAATCATACACAAAAGATCAGAAGAATTACTCTTCACCACATCATTCATTCTGTCCAGGGGATTGGAGCAGTCTGATTTCATTCGAACAATTGTTATACAGTGGATCGAGAGGATCGGACACTTGTCAATCATTCTACAAGGAGCCGTGATGCTGATACAGTAGACATGAGGATTGTCATTCACCCAAAGATCTTACAACAGGTCTAACACTCATCTCAGTATATCCTATATATACTGCCATCAATCAAGGGATCACTACAGAAGAGATTATAACCAGGAGCCAGGTTGGGAACGTTTGACCTTCTAGGTCTACCTCATGCAGTCGGCAGGATAGTATTATACTGGAACAGGATGGCCAGTATCCATGAGAACTTCCAAGCTGTATTGGATTTTTCACTTCCTTGATTCCATCACAGCGTTACAAAGATAGGATTTCATTTGTCTACTTTGGAGGATCAGTTCAAAGAACAACTCTATCAGCAACCTTGGTTGCCTCAGTTGCTATTTGCCACCCATCGCCAATCTATTGCTAAAGATGTAGTTCAGGTTATATAGCAGGAGATGTCCTCAAGTTACACCAGCAAACATTAGAGGGCAACCAGAGTGTCAGGAGAAAGTCAGCTTATGCTCCAGTTCATTCTGACATGTACCGGGGCGGTGGGGTAGCCTAGTGGGTAAAGCGTTCTCTCGTCACGCCGAAGGCCCGTGTTCGATTCCCCACATGGGTAAAATGTGTGAAGCCCATTTCGGTGTCCCCCGCCGTGATATTGCTGGAATATTGCTAAAGCGGCGTAAAACCAAACTCAGTTAGTCAGTCAGTCAGTCCATGTTAAATTTGGACTTTGTCCGAAGCACTCACTCACTCTGACATGTACCTTACAAGAGAAGCAAGCTGTACACCACAGTCCTTCAAACCCAGATTTTATTCACCAGTCCTTCCAGTTCTGGAGAAAGACAAAGTGCGCATGATTTTCAGCATGAAAATCTTCAGTGTGCAGTACCTTCTTCCTGTGCCTGGCACCCTTGAAGAGCAACCTCCTCGTGGTGGGTGCTGGGTAACGCCAATGGCTCTTCGCCCTCGTGTGGACCCGGGGTCGAATAGGTCCACAGCACCCCATTGCTGGTTGTAAGAGGCGACCAAATTGGGCAGCCCGTTTGCCGTGGGTTGCATCCCTGTGTCGGCAGAGGAAGGGAGTCTGGTGGTTGAGGATGACGGAACCGGCAATAGTGTTCAATCATCCAACACACCACTTCCACCCTAACTTTGCCTAGACGGGTGGTAGAATAAGCCCGATTCTACAAATCGGCTGGTCACGCCTTGCCCTGTGCATGGAATGTCTATACAAAATTTGGTATTACATAACACTTTTGACCATGTTCAAAATGTTAACTAATATTTTACCAAAACAAATTAGCCTCGCAGACCCATGCACAGAAGGCGGTGGCTCATGGGCCAATCTGGTGATGCTGACCTCCGATTTCTGTACGTCTCCAATTGATTGTCATGGACAGAACCATCCTGACCTTTAATCTGGTAGGCAGCTACAGCATTTCATGTCAAATTCGCTGGAGTATAACACCCCTTATCCTAGTCTTTGCAGCTTGAGACCCGCTGCAGTATAAGATCGTCCTTGTTGACACTCCACGGTGGGTGGGGAGAGGGATGCCGAACCACATTACTAACGACATGGCTTCCAAATGCCCCCGGTTCAAAACGAAGACACATGGATACTTCGACAACTCCTCGTCTGACGAGAGCACGCCCCTCCGACCTGACTACTGGCCACGTTTCCTGATCATTGGGGCTTTGTGACAAGCAACCTTTGCAATTGAACCCTTTTGCAATCTCCAAAGGTATGGCTGGTATCTGCTGAGAGGTTGCCAATGTTACAAAGCTTAGATCTGGCTCTCTCTGATAGAATGTACCCGGAAACACCAATCACTAAATCTCCTCAAAATACAAGAATTTGTCAATATCAAGGTCGCTGTCTCAGCACACAAAACACTTAGCTCGTGTAGAGGCATTGTACGGGACAGAGCTCGATGCCTGTCTGACATGACTGAAGAACAAATTGTCAAGGAACTCTCTCAGCAATCAGTCACAGCCGTAAAACGATTCACCTTCAAAAGGACGGTGTTGTTCAACCAACGAACACCTATCTCTTCACGTTCGCGCGAGCAAACATTTCCTGACTCGATTAGAGGCTGGTTATTGTAGCATTGGTGTGGAGGTGTATGTCCCCAATCCACTCCGGTGCTACAACTGCCAAAAAGTTTGGACATGGATCCAAGTCCTGTCGTTCCTCTGCTGTTTGTTACCGCTGTGGTGACAAGCATGAGGGCAACGACAGTACTAAGGGAAGTGAAGTGCACAAACTGCGGTGGTAACCATATGGCCTCTTCCAAGTTCTGTCCAGTGTGGAAACGCGAATCCGAGATCCTCAAGATCAAGCACAAAGAAAATATCTCCTTTCACGAAGCAAAGAAGAGGGTTGCAAGTTTAACTGCAGCCCCTTCAACCATCACCTACTCTTCTGCTGTCTCCCGTCCTACTATCACTACTGCAACCATCTCATGTCAGACCGACCTGACATGGATCGTGTCTTCTCAGCCAACTGAACTCAACACAACTCAGCCTATCTCAGCAACTCCATCTCCAACGCCAAAGTCAAAACCTCTTGAATCACAAACACCAGAACAAATGCCAAAACCAGAAACAGAAACTGCGCGCAGAAAAGAAAAAAAGTGGCTAGAGAGACTAAAACAACTTGAACAACTGCCAAACACAAAACCAAAGGCCACCTCTCCTTCAGAGGTCCCTATCGAGGTCCATAACTCCTTTGGCCCCTCTGGATATGGAGGTAACTCCAACTCCACCTCACACCAATAGGAGTTCATCAAACGCTTTCTCACGTTCACGTGACATGTCACCAGTGGAAGCACCATGAATCCACAAAACATGATCCAATGGAATTGCAGAGGACTTAAGAATAATTATAATGAATTACAGCTATTGATTCAAGACTTCAA